AAGGGTAATTAATTGTTACATATTAATATTTAGGATTGGCCTTAGCGCATTTAAAACAGTATCAAGAATCAATAAAATGTTACGATAAAATAATATCTATTGATAATAAATATGGTTCTGCATGGATTAACAAGGGTAATTAAGAATTAAATGTTAATATTTAGGTAATGCATTAACACATTTAAAACAATACCAAGAAGCAATTTAATGCTACAATGAAGCAATATCTATTAATCCTAAATATAATGATGCATGGTATGGCAAGGGTAATTAATTGTTAAGTATCAATTTTTAGGATTGGCCTTAGAACATTTAAAACATTATCAAGAATCAATAAAATGTTTTGATGTAGCAATATCTATTGATAATAAATATGGTTCTGCATGGATTAAAAAGGGTAATTAAGAATTTAATGTTAATATTTAGGGAGTGCATTAACACATTTAAAACAATACCAAGAAGCAGTTTAATGCTAAAATGAAGCAATATCAATTAATCCTAAATGCATTGATGCATGGTATGGCAAGGGTAATTAATTGTTACGTATCAATTTTTAGGTAACGCATTAGCACGTTTAGAGCAATATCAAGAAGCAATAAAATGTTACAATGAAGTAATATCTATTGATAATAAATATGGTTCTGCATGGATTAACAAGGGTAATTAAGAATTAAATGTTAATATTTAGGTAATGCATTAACACATTTAAAACAATACCAAGAAGCAATTTAATGCTACAATGAAGCAATATCTATTAATCCTAAATATATTGATGCGTGGTATGGCAAGGGTAATTAATTGTTACGTATAAATTTTTAGGTAACGCATTAGAACATTTAAAACATTATCAAGAATCAATAAAATGTTTTGATGAAGCAATATCTATTGATAATATATATGTTTCTGCATGGATTAAAAAGGGTAATTAAGAATTAAATGTTAATATTTAGGTAGTGCATTAACACATTTAAAACAATACCAAGAAGCAGTTTAATGCTAAAATGAAGCAATATCAATTAATCCTAAATGCATTGATGCATGGTATGGCAAAGGTAATTAATTGTTACATATCAATTTTTAGGATTGGCCTTAGCACATTTATAATATTATCAAGAATCAATAAAATGTTACAATGAAGTAATTTATATTAACCCAAGACATGAATTAGTATGGTGTGGCAAGGGTAATTACTTTTTCAATATGAATACTTAGGTCTTTCATTAGTCAAATTGAATCTATATGAAGAAGCAATTAAGTCATTTGATATGGCAATATCCATTAATTCTAAATAGATAAATATATGGTATTATAAGGGTAATTAATTGGTCCATATTAATATTTAGGTAACGCATTATCGTGTTTAAAGCAATATCAAGAAGCAATAAAATGTTACAATGAAGCAATTTATATTAACCCAAGACATGATTCTGCATGGTATAAAAAAGGTAGTTACTTGTTCAATATTTAAACTTAGGTTTTGCATTAGCTAAATTGAATTAATATCAAGAAGCAATATACTCTTACGATGAAGCAATATTTATTAACCCTAAATCTGATTGCTCCTTAGAAAATAAAGGTAAATATTTTTATTATTCAGGTATAATCCTACACAAATTGAATAAATATATGGATGCACTCTTTAATTTTGAACAAGCCCTTAAAATAAGAAATAGTGCTCATCTATTCAAATTGAAAGGTAATTATATCATTTTTTATTTTTAGCTGATTCATTATTTGAATTACGGAGAATATCAGAAGCTAAATACTTTTATTTGGCTGCAGAGGAACTGGGATTAGGTTAAAATGCTTATATTAAAAGTTTACTTTTTTCGTTATGAAGCATTTTCGTATTGGTATTTCAATTATTTTTATACTATTATTTATATTATCCTAAACAATTTCTTAAAGTGGTTTAACCCACTGTTATGGAGACGCTAAACTATTAAAAAAGATATTTACTAGGTAATCAGAGGTTAAGTTATAATGATATAATAAATTTATCTCGACTCTGGTTATTTCACATCATATTGCATATCTCTCTCACTATGGGTAGATGCAAAGAAAAATGGAAAAAAAGTATGACAAGTTCAAATGTCTTTGTAAATTTGAGAAAATACTCCATTTGCCATCTAAAGAGCATCTTTAAGCCTAAATTATTGAATTTAAGAGGGTTTGATTTATGCTTACAACTATAAATTATCCCAACAACTATGTTTGTAGTTATATATATCATGAAAAATTAATTAATTTTGTACTTACTTCCTTCAATATAATATTCCTAAATTATCATATAGTTCAATCAAATCAGCAGTGCATTGTGACTAAAATTCTAATAGACTTTAATCCCCTACTTAATCTAATTCATCATTCCTTTTGCTTAACCAAAATTTAGATAAAACAATTTAACAGCCACATATGCGGTTCCAGAAATCAACCCATAAGGAAAAATTTAGAATTAAACTTTTGCTTTAATTCTATAAAGCTATATTTAGAATTACTCAGTAATTATATGAATAAATCAAGATTGGCTTGATAATGTATTAGATTGTATGCAAGAAATTTCCTTCTGTTATTGAAATTATGAAATTTTTGCATCAAATAAGATAACGAATGTGACAATTACAAGGGAACTCAAAGTATTTCCAATTATTGTAAGAATTTTAATATTCCCCTGTTCAATAAAATCCATTTTAATAGATTTTTAAGATACTTGAACTTGAAATTAAAAATTTAGTTTTTGAAACAAAAGTTGCATCCTTATTTAGTCTTATATTGAAGTTTGATGAAATCTATTATATTATTAAAATTACAATCCATATCATTTCCATTCCTCCTTACTACAACAGTCTTCAAAATTTATATAAATTTCAATTTAAAAGTGAATAATCCCCTATCTTTCTTTTACTTGATCTAAGACTTGAGGGTACATCTAAGGGGAAATAAATGTTTCTTGAAAGTTTATAAAATTCTGACATTAAAAAAAATTAAATTCATTTAACAAGATAATGTAGTAAAATAATATAATACAAATATTAAAAATTTAATAAAGTCATACCATAATCAACAGTTTCAGAAATTATATGAAATAATCATTAATCTGATTAAAATCAAATTCACAAATCCTATTATGAATAGCTTGCTTTGATTTAAAATGTAAAAACTGTTATTTAATAGATTTGGAAATAAAGTTTAAATTAATAATTGAAATTTCTAGTTACAATTAGAGAGTTAAAGAAAAATTCTTTTTGGTTATTAATTAATAATTAAAGTAATTAGCTTTAGAAATAACTGCAAATAGTGATTCATCTTTTTTCTCTTTCCTCAAATAAAACTAAGCCTCTATATAAATCTAGTTTATTACATATATCAAGCTAATCATTTTTGTAAACATCATTAAGAAAATGAAAATTGTTCATTTTCCTAAAAGGAGAAATAAAAATTACTGATCCCTAAACATGTGTACTTAAAAATTGAAATTCAATTTTTAGAATTGCGCTCACCATTTAGGAGAAAAAAGAAAAAATTATGATCTGAGTAATCTTATACAAATGCATGAATAAATTCTTTCCTTTTCTAATCTGATAGATTACATTTCTCTTAATAATCCTTTTATTGAATATTGATAAGTTTCATTAATTAAGAATTTGATATCACTATTATTTACTATTTAATTAGTAATTGATAAATTTGAATGTTGAATATTAATAGACAAAAAGTAATAGGAAAGAAATTAATATTTTATTTATTTATTAATCATGGATTAATAAGCAAGGAGGATTAATACTTCCCTTTCTATGAGTAATGCAACATCAGTTTATACTTTGCGAAATTATGTGTTAAAAAAATTTAAGTAACTGCTAAACAATCTAAGTCATGGTAAAATTTTGAAAAATGAGGTGAGTAATTTAGATTTGGAGCCTTGTATTTAATTAAGAGGTGGTGGTTGTTGTGGAACGAAACAAATTCATTCTGATATAATATAAGGCAATTAAAATTTTGAAGAAAATTTTGCATCCAAATTATAAACTTATACTAATATCATTATTGAAAAATCGTTGAGCTTTCAAGATAAGATGAATCAAGAGGAAATCATGACTGCATTTTAATGGTTTCACAACCACAAAGAGTAATTTAATATTATTTGTAAAGATGATGCTTTAAACTCATAATTTTATGAACTTATAGAAAGGATTGTAGAATAATTAATGAAATAACTTATAATTTATTTAAAACTCTCTGGGTTCCTATTCTATTTGTTACTCTAAATTTGTAATGATTTATTTAGAATAATATTTTCATATTAATCAAAGAATGGAGAAAGGTACATGTAAGAGGAGTTACATAAGAGATTTTTAGAATATATTTAAGAAATCGAGTCTTAAATCTAAGTAGAAGCGATTAATATTTGGCTTAATGGAGTAGATTTTGAGCTCAAGATGATTAAGACTTGTATTGCTCATTGTAGGACAAACTCTGAAAAAGGGAAGGAATTAGCCATATCTATTATGTCTGGATTGATCTCATCGCTATCTTAATTAAAACCCAGTGAAGAGTTGATTGACTCTCTTATAGAAGGAGGTAAGTTTTTACTTTTGAATTTCTATAATAAACAAATCCAAAATCCTTTACAAATTTACGAAATATATTACTTTTTTGAAACTCTGAAATGGTCAATTGTAAATTAATTAAAATGGGGCTATTCAGTTTAGAATATCATTAGGCAAATTCAAGATGGATACCAAAAGTATATAAACATTTCTAAGGATTGGATGATACATTATTGTTGGGTCAACTTAATATCTGATCTCATGTGCTATAGACCTATCGTTTAAAAGTCTTAATTATCATAATTGATGTAAACTGGAATTCCTAATCAAGAAAATTGGAATTAATTATTAAATTAAAATTAAATAATTTTACTACCTTATAATAAATTTGCTGGTAAACTAAAAATATTTGGAAACCAAAATTTTAAAGTTAAAAAGTTTGCACCTTTAAAACTATTTTAGGAGTACTTGATTTAGAATTCAAGTGAGATCCGATTATTGCGAGATTACATTAACTTTAATTTCAATAGCTAGGTAGATCAATAATTAAATGAAGAGGATCTCTTTATCTAATAATTAACAAATCAATCGAATTTAGAATTAATAAAGGCTTTAAACAATTATTTAGGATCTCAGAAAGACCAATTAATAAATAATTTCGAATCTGTAAAATAATAAGTGCTTTAATATAATTCTTAACTCAAAAATAACAAAGTTATAGAACTCAAAATAATCAAACAGGACATCAGTTTTTTAATGAAATCATTCAAACAAACCAGCACTTTAATTCTATGCTTACTCTAAGAGATAAATTTATTGATAAATAAGGAACTCCAAATCAATTCAATCTTCTAGACCTTTTTAGAAAGTTTTAATTCAATTAATGCGGAATAACTGAATAAAATAAAAAAATAAACATTAATATTAATTTAAGAGATTGAAAATAAACATATAGCAGAGTTTATAGGAAATTTAGATTAGGTTTCTGCATTTTGGATATATGTGTCTGAATATACGACAATTTAACATGAAGAATTATTTGAAGGGAACCTAGAATAGGATCAATCACTTGAAATGTAACTCAATGAAACCATTTAAGTATTTGCTGCCTATTGTCTATGCATAGATAAATTTCTGTTATAAGTACCAACTGTTAAGAGAAACCTCTTGAATATTATGAAATAGCAAAACTACAAAGATTTTTTGAAAACCCAAATTTCTCAAAGGCATATAGCAGAAGAGATAATCAGGATATTGGATTCTAAACTTATAGTGAAATTGGTTAATAAAACTTAAGGATATTTCTAAAAGATAGAAAAGATGAAATCAAAAATTGAGGAAGTATAAGATATTCGAAAAGTTCTCAAAATGATTTACAGCAACTTAAATATTCACAAGGGAATAAAAATGATGCTTTGTGTCCACTAAAAAAAATTAACTACATTATTCTCATAATTTTAAGGGATTTTTTCAAATAAAGGAATTCAAGAAGCTGATGGAGAGTAATAGCATTAAACAGATATCAATGAATAAATTAGAACATTAATTATTGACAAGAAAGAGAAGTTATAAATTTTATTCAATAAATATTAAAATGCAGAATTCACAAAGGAGCAACAAAATGATTTTAATAATCTATCATATCAAATTTATAGGGAAATAAATGATATAAAAAAATAGAATTGGAAGGAGCAAATATAAGAACCTCTTATATTGTTGTTTTAGGAGGTAAGAATTAAATTAGAAATATTTGGTTTGGTTTAGAAGGAGAGAAATATGATATAATAAGAAATTTTAAAATTGTTGGATAACCATCTTTAAGAAATAAATTAAGAAGAAAAAACAGAGGAATTATAATCGTGTTCAAGGGATCCTTAATTACCTTCTTCTAGATAAGAATTGCTGAAATTAAATTTAGGAGATTTGATTGAGTGTGAAAAGTTCATCAAAACATTAGAAGGCTTAATTATGAAATCTCAAAAGCTAAAGAAGATATTCAAATCAAATCTAATTGAAGCTGCTTCTTACAATTAATCAACAAATGCATAGTTATTTAATAAATTAAAAAGTATATATACATAAAGTTTATATCAAATAATAAGTGATATATCACAATAAACTCTATAGTTTTGTCAGTAGATAAATAGGAATGAATAAATGATTTTTAGCGAGGATTTTCTTGCAAAACTCCAAAAATAACCTTAAATTTAGCAAGTTCATGTAAGGATTTAAATATTAAATTTTAATACTCTTTGCATTGAAGATTAAGCTACATAAAATTAGGATAGAAAAGTTGATATAATCTCAACTATCTTTACAGAGTTAAAAAAGAGTACTAAGACAAATTATGAAGTAGGTATTTTTGATATGTTTTAAAATTCTTCATATAAAGTTAGGGAAATCCTTGTATTTAATTTGATAAGGATGTAATCAATAGTTCAAGAAGAAACAATATAAGAGTTTTGCGAAGATTTATTAAAATAAATTTGGATAATTGAACAACATCCTAGTGTTAGAAGCTTACTGAAAAATGAGGAAATGATTGTGATGTAGAAGAAGTTGTTTTCAAAAGATTTACAAAATTTCTCAATTAAGTTAAAAACAGAAATGCAAAATAGATTCAAATAAATTGAACAACTTGAAACTCAAATTCTTCTTAGCGATAACTAAGAAGAAATAAAGTTGTAGCTCCAACAAGAATATGAGAATTTTGAAATATATTTAGATAATATTACGGATATGTCACAAAGATTAGATATTAGTTTAATCTTTTTAAGAGAAATTAGTAAGGATTTGAAAAACATAAAATCATCAATAGATTAGGTATTAACTAGCATAAAAAGCGTGGAGGATGATATAAGAAGATTGAGAGGGAAGAACTTTATGGAATTACTGAGCATGCGAAAATAAAAGGTTTTAAAATAAAAGCAAGAGAATGAGCTTGATTAAATTCACATTTAGGTTACAACTCAAGATTATGATCCTATTTCTGGTAATAAAAAAACGAACAGTAAAGGGGAGTTCATCACATTCTTAATAAAGAACTAATATGATAATTTTGATGGGGAAGTGAATGAATTTTTATGGAGTGACTAAGAAAAGCAAAAAGATGTTATGTTAATAAAAGGGAAAGCAGGTTCAGGTAAGAGTAGAGCTGCACGTAACATCGAAGAATTTATATGGATTTGCGATTCAATAAAACCAAATTGGATCCCTATTTATGTATCTCTTCCTTCCTTAAAGGACCCTCATCATAATTTGATTAATTAGGCACTTGAATCTGAAATTTACAATTTTGACAATATACAAATAAGAGAGTTCAAGGATGCTGTCATTAATGGAAACTTAAAGATTGTATTGATTCTTGAAAGCTATGATGAGATGAAATTTGATTGCATAGGAACTAATCTTTATCATACAAATAGACTGGTTTAAGATCTTAGCCTTTAGGCACCGGGATAAACAGTTAAAATGATTATAACGACAAGAGAAGAAATCTTGAATTCAATAGGATATTAAACTTGGTTTTATGGTCAAAGCATAGAAACACTTAAAGAAATTGAGATATTGCCTTTTAGTTAGGAACAGAGTTCACAATATATAAAAATATATGCTGAAATAAGTGTTAAGAGAACTATTAAAAGATTTTATGAATTTCTCAAATAATTAAAAGGGTAATTAATTTCATTAGATGAGTTTAAGTAGATATGGAGTTAAATAGAGAGTACAATTAATTCAATTATAATGTAGAAATAAAATTCTGAAGTGTTGTTTTAGACATAGGATGTGGAAAAATTGATATTAAAGATTTAAGCAGTTGAATTTTTTAATTTTATCAAATCAAATTAGATGGTATCATTAAAAAAGGAACTATTGTAACTTTGGGGAGAGTAAAAATTCTCTTAAGTAATTAATAACGTCAACATCAATCATCTACTGACAACTCCATTTATGATGGAAATAATAGTTTATGTGTTACCTAAAATGTCATAATTTTTCTCGCAATCTAACTTAATAAGAGATTTGCTTAAGAAAAATTTTATGATTTTGAAAAGAGAGGCCAAGAAATCAGAGGTTGTGATTGAATAATATTAAAGAAGGGAAATTTAGAATTCAGAAGATTTGAATCAATTGAATGGGAAGAAGGAGAAAAAAAACTTAGAATCGTAAATACTGGAATAATTTAATTTAATTATGGAAGACTTGGACAGTTAAAACTTTTTTGAGTAATTTTCTATAGCCAACTCTCTAGAATATATCAATAATAATACTATCTTTTCAAGCAAGCTTTTTAAAGTGAGGTATGATGCAAATTTTATTGTTTCAGCTTTCAGGTTAAACCAATTTACTGCTTTCGATTTTTATGAAATATTTGTTAACTTTTATCATAATTAACAATTACAAAAATTGAAGGACTTGGGAAAAAATATATAACTAGAGAGTGTTCTATTGGACTTATAAGATTTTTCCACATTTTTAGCTATAAATATGTCTCAGAGATAATTGACTTAAGTGAATTATAAATCAAAAGGGAAACTAAACATTAAGTAAGCTGAGGAAGAAAGGAAGGTTGAGGTCTCTTGGGAAGACTCATATTTCAGTGATAATTAAGACGATTTTGAGTACAAGTCTCTATTACGCAAGTGTATGTTGATTAATTCAAAGGGCAGCATATATTCATTCAATCATAAATCCATTTAAGAGTTTTTTGTTGCCAAATACATTTTCAACTTGATTGAGAGACTCTTCAACAATGAATCACAAAGTGTGGATCAAACTGTGTTAAAAAGCAGTAGTTTTAACAAGGATTAATTCAACCTATCTTTGGATCATTACTCTGGAATTTTGGAAATATTAAAACCTAAATTGAAACAAATCGGAGGGATTAAACAGAAATTAATTCAGATAATCTAATTGTCAAAGATTGAAACTGAGAAAAAATTTTTAAGGTCAGCTTCAAATTCACTGTATATTATAAGTTCATTGAGGGAGCATTTTGATGGCATCGATTTTAGTAACATCTAGATAGAGGATACTAAATTGAATGGCATAAGTTTCTATCAGTGTAATTTAAACAATACCTAATTTAATAATGTTTCAATTGATTCGTGTAATTTTAATTGTGCAAAAATATAGAATGCTGTTTGGGAAAAACTGATTTGCAAAGAGAAACCCTCATTATCAGGTCACAACTCAATGATAACTTAGGTTGTGTTTAGTGAGGATGGAACCACTTTATCATCAGGTAGTTAAGATGGAACTCTTAATATCTGGTAGGTTTATGCTGACGAAGNAAAATCAGAGGTTGTGATAGAATAATATTAAAGAAGGGAAATTTAGAATTCAGAAGATTTTAATCAAATGAATGGGAAGAAGGAGAAAAAAAACTTAGAATCGTAAATACTGGAATAATTTAATTTAATTATGGAAGACTTGGACAGTTAAAACTTTTTTGAGTAATTTTCTATAGCCAACTCTCTAAAATATATCAATAATAATACTATCTTTTCAAGCAAGCTTTTTAAAGTAAAGTATGATGCAAATTTTATTGTTTCAGCTTTCAGGTTAAACCAATTTACTGCTTTCGATTTTTATGAAATATTTGTTAACTTTTATCATAATTAACAATTACAAAAATTGAAGGACTTGGGAAAAAATATATAACTAGAGAGTGTCTATTGGACTTATAAGATTTTTCCACATTTTTAGCTATAAATATGTCTCAGAGATAATTGACTTAAGTGAATTATAAATCAAAAGGGAAACTAAACATTAAGTAAGCTGAGGAAGAAAAGAAGGTTGAGGTCTCTTGGGAAGACTCATATTTCAGTGATAATTAAGACGATTTTGAGTACAAGTCTCTATTACGCAAGTGTATGTTGATTAATTCAAAGGGCAGCATATATTCATTCAATCATAAATCCATTTAAGAGTTTTTTGTTGCCAAATACATTTTCAACTTGATTGAGAGACTCTTCAACAATGAATCACAAAGTGTGGATCAAACTGTGTTAAAAAGCAGTAGTTTTAACAAGGATTAATTCACCCTATCTTTGGATCATTACTGTTAGATTTTGAAATATATATATTAATTAAATTTCAAATTACAATATTATTTTGTGTATTTGGAGTGACATTTAAAGAAATTCTTACTGATTTGTTCAAATTGTAAAAATTTATTGAGTTTAAATACTGAATGTTTGTATTATATTCTCCAATTTAATTTATAATATAAAAATACATCAAGATTCTAAATTCTTATCATTAATGTAATTTATCTGACTGGAACAAGTGTATACCTGTAAATTAACCAAATATCAAGAATTTGCTGTTATTTTATTTATATATAATAAAATATAAATTAATTAATCGTGAAAATTTGTGTTACATATTGAAATAGAGGGTATAGATTAATTGATAATATTGAATTTTTATTGAAAAGCTGAGGCAAACTTATTCATTAAAAATAATTAAATTCTTTTTTTTGGAATTTTGCAAATTGAAATATATAATTCTTTACAATAAATATATTTGTTTTTTCTCATTTACTAGATGAAGACCTCAAAGAAATCATTTTTATAGAGTTGAACACATAATTGGAAAAATCCACATTAACTGTAATTTCATAATTTTATTGTTATCATACCTAATACTTCTTATTCCATCTTAAATAATTGGAGACATTATTGAAATGGTAATTATTGCTTACATTTGTTTTCAATTCACAATATCATTCAAAGTAAAGTAGGAATTACAATCAGAAACTTAATTAGGATTATGTTGTTTTTAATTTAGAATTCGTTGATAATAATTCTAAATATAGTATGCAAATTATAGATTAATTTATTCCAAAAATAGAATCTGATCCTTAAATAGCAATAATCCGATTAAAATATATTTATTTATAAATAATGGATATTTTGTGTCCTAATTAAGGGCATAAAAATTAGATTGAATTTGTTTGTATGAGGGATTCTTGCCAAGAATATCGCTTTTCTTGCTTTGAATGTTTGCAAGCTGGAAATCATAAGAGCCATATAGAAGATGTTCAAAAATTTTCTTCGTTTTTGAATTTAATAAAGTAGTAATCATCCGATTACGATAATCTTATGAGTAAGCTTGAGAATTGGATTAATCATATGAATAATTAATGTGGGGAACTGAAAAAAGGGTTAGAAATGAGATACAAAGAAATAACAGAATTAGCTAAGAATTTTAGTATAAATCACTTTAATGAACTTTCTTCTTGTTTTTTCTCATTTCAAAGGAGTAAAGAGAAACTGTATTCAATGATTGCAGAGAGTGTAGGAAGTCTTTCTGAAACTATTACAAATGGTCGAAAAATTTTATGTTTAGAACCATAAATTCAATAATAAGTATTTAATAAAGAATTGAAGCCATTTAAATATGAATTAATCAATAAAATAAAAGATGAATACATATTTGCTTTTGCGTTTAATAAAGAAGCTACTCTCTTAGTGGCTGGCTACGAATCAAGCAAAATAAGAGTATTTGAGTTTGAGCAAGGATAATTACGATAATTATAGGAATTGAGCAATCATAGTAAAAGAGTTCGATGTGTATACTTTTTGTAAAAATCGCCTTCATTTATCTCTGGTAGCTATGATCGTTCGATTATTGTATGGGAGGCCTCAGAAAATAGATAGTTCTATTGTAAGTAACAACTTGAAGGTCATACTGACGATATTAATTGTTTGATAATTAATAATAATGAGGATTTGATAATATCAGGTAGTGATGACAAANCCTGCGGTAATAGATTTTGTCGATAGCGGATACCTTTGAATGAGACTATGATATTTTAAGAGAAATTGCATAATATATTTAAATTAGATATTTTTGAAATAACTAAATAATAGAACTTGACTTTTACACGACAAAAGTAAAGAAAATAAATTTGGAATTCTCTAAATAAGTCTTTACCTCAGAATAATAAAATGTATAACAATTATGCTGTTAGATTTTGAAAAATATATATTAATTAAATTTCAAATTACAATATTATTTTGTGTATTTGGAGTGACACTTAAAGAAATTCTTACTGATTTGTTCAAATTGTAAAAATTTTATTGAATTTAAATACTGAATGTTGTCGGTCTTCTTTAAATGTAAATTGAATTGCTTTTTAATGTTCAAAAAGTATATTATATTCTCCAATTTAATTTATAATATAAAAATACATCAAGATTCTAAATTCTTATCATTAATGTAATTTTCTGACTTGAACAAGTGTATACCTGTAAATTAACCAAATATCAAGAATTTGCTGTTATTTTATTTATATATAATAAAATATAAATTAATTAATCGTGAAAAATTGTGTTACATATTGAAATAGAGGGTATAGATTAATTGATAATATTGAATTTTTATTGAAAAACTGAGACAAACTTATTCATTAAAAATAATTAATTTCTTTTTTTTGGAATTTTGCAAATTGAAATATATAATTCTTTAGAATAAATATATTTGTTTTTTCTCATTTACTAGATGAAGACCTCAAACAAATCATTTTTATAGAGTTGAACACATAATTGGAAAAATCCTCATTAACTGTAATTTCATAATTTTATTGTTATCATACTTAATACTTCTTATTCCATCTTAAATAATTGGAGACATTATTGAAATGGTAATTATTGCTTACATTTGTTTTCAGTTCACAATATCATTAAAAGTAAAGTAGGAATTACAATCAGAAACTTAATTAGGATTATGTTGTTTTTAATTTAGAATTCGTTGATAATAATTCTAAATATAGTATGCAAAATATAGATTAATTTATTCCAAAAATAGAATCTGATCCTTAAATAGCAATAATCCGATTAAAATATTTTTATTTATAAATAATGGATATTTTGTGTCCGAATTAAGGGCATAACAATTAGATTGAATTTGTTTGTATGAGGGATTCTTGCCAAGAATATCGCTTTTCTTGCTTTGAATGTTTGCAAGCTGGAAATCATAAGAGCCATATAGAAGATGTTCAAAAATTTTCTTCGTTTTTGAATTTAATAAAGTAGTAATCATCCGATTACGATAATCTTATGAGTAAGCTTGAGAATTGGATTAATCATATGAATAATTAATGTGGGGAACTGAAAAAAGGGTTAGAAATGAGATACAAAGAAATAACAGAATTAGCTAAGAATTTTAGTATAAATCACTTTAATGAACTTTCTTCTTGTTTTTTCTCATTTCAAAGGAGTAAAGAGAAACTGTATTCAATGATTGCAGAGAGTGTAGGAAGTCTTTCTGAAACTATTACAAATGGTCGAAAAATTTTATGTTTAGAACCATAAATTCAATAATAAGTATTTAATAAAGAATTGAAGCCATTTAAATATGAATTAATCAATAAAATAAAAGATGAATACATATTTGCTTTTGCGTTTAATAAAGAAGCTACTCTCTTAGTGGCTGGCTACGAATCAAGCAAAATAAGAGTATTTGAGTTTGAGCAAGGATAATTACGATAATTATAGGAATTGAGCAATCATAGTAAAAGAGTTCGATGTGTATACTTTTTGTAAAAATCGCCTTCATTTATCTCTGGTAGCTATGATCGTTCGATTATTGTATGGGAGGCCTCAGAAAATAGATAGTTCTATTGTAAGTAACAACTTGAAGGTCATACTGACGATATTAATTGTTTGATAATTAATAATAATGAGGATTTGATAATATCAGGTAGTGATGACAAAACCATTAGACTATGGAGTAAAAATGTGTAGTGGCATTGTTCATAGACATTAACATATCATAATGGGAGTGTATTCTGTATCAGCATGAATGAAACTTAAAATTAATTCATTTCTTGTGCTGCAGACAATCTGATTGTTGTAAGTCAAAAAGATGTAAATAGTTCTTTCTGGAATATTCTTTAAACTATTAAAGTAGAATGGGGTTTAAGATTATGCTTTATTAGCAATACTTAATTTACATATCAACCTTATAATAAAAAGCAGATGATAATTTATGAACAAAGTAAATTCAGCGAATAATTTGTTAAGCAAAAGGAAATTGCTGTAAAGTCTGGAAATGATTGCTTTTGGTATTTTCCTTAAAAATATATTAAATCGAAATAACTGTTACTCAACAAAAATGGAAGTAGTTTAAATTTAATTAAAATTAAAGAGAATGGAGAATTTATTTAAGAATAAATTATCGATTTTGATGATAATTACATTCATGGAGCAATTTCAGATGATGGAGAGTATTTAATCACTTGGGATTGTAAAACCGAAGAAATTCAAGTTAGGCAATACAGCGAATGATGGTCAGCCATTCTGATATCATTCCGATATCTATAAATATTAATTATGTTATTGGATATGGACAATCTAGTAATAGAAATTAATATTTGATATCATTGATATTCAATGAATCTATTAGACATCTTATTTTCAGAAATATACTATGAATATAAGAGCTATATGATTATCAAAAAAAATAATTTCTTCTCTTCTCTTCTCTTCTCTTCTCTTTCTCTTTCTCTCCTACCTTGCTTGATCCATAATATATGCTTTAGATCTTCTGATCCCTTTGATTCGAACTCTGCCTTCTTTGTATTCATGTTACTTAGAAGGAACGCAGACTATTTTCAAATTTCCATTTAAATTCATAGATAATTATGTACTTCAAATGATTGCATTGAGAATCAAAAATAAAATGAAAAGATTTACAATTGTAAACAATCATTATCTTAATTCTAAAAATGCCGAATAGGATTTGAATACTACTTTTATTCCTATCTTCAATGAAACTTTTAGATTATAAGAATATTCATTTCTTAATTTCATCTTTGTATATGGGATAGAATTAATGTTGTATTATATTTTTAAGGCAAATTAACTGCTAAAAATAATAGTTTTGTCATTTTGTTTCAAGCCACTTAAGGAATTGTTTCAAACACATTTAATTCTAGAATTGGGACATTACTGTTGCTAACTAGAATTGTTTGGGTGTTTGTGTTGCTGTGGCTGTGGTGTCATTATTTATGAATAAGAAAGTGAAATCAAGTGTTGCATTTGAAGGAGAGTTAAGTCTCAAAGGATCTATTTTTAGACAATGCAATCTGAGAGATAGCATCATTTAGACAGCAGAATCTGGAGTTGAGAGGTAATAGCATAATTTAATTGAGTAGCATCATTATTCCATCTTAGAATGTGGGGGACATTTACAACTTAGAACCTTCTATTAAATAGGGAATTAGATTAGTCGATCACATTGAGGAGGTTTTTCAATTGGCATTTGAAGATGGATTTACTTACTAACACTACCCTAATTTATGAAGTATATATATATATATTAATAAATAAAAATCTTAATTTGAATATAGGATACATCACACAAAAACATCTCCTTAATAGACGGCTAATTCTAGATTTATTGTCATTTTTGAGCATTTTTATGAGGCATTTTGAATTGTGTCCTTAATTTTCATAAACTATTTTTTTAAATCGTGTATAGGTGTGGTAAGTATTTCTACATTTAGTTTTTCAATTTGATTAAACAGTTTCATCAATGAGATAGCCAATTATTCACAGGCATGTTCAAAGAGCTTCTGATAATGATCTAACAACTAGGATGAGTATTGGTTATTATGAGAAATATAGTAGCACAAACAATAAGACCTGCACAGTAATAATATCACGTATACCATTTTAATGTGACTCTAGATTAGATTAGTTCTGCCATGACTTCTTCCAAGAATTTAGTGTCATTCATATCGAAGCCTAAATACATAAATATTTTGTCAATGTATTCATCTCTAATTTTTTTCAATGACTCCTGGGCTTTTTATCCTGCAGCTTCTGAAATTAGATATCTTTTCTAATAGAAATTACATCTTTCGATTGAATCTTTCTCTTACTTTGTATTGTCTGTGGGTGGTACATACTAGTTGCACTTATAATGATCTTTGTGATATGGTTTCCAAGGCTAAGAACAAACATAACAAAAAGCATTTCCGCATCCTCCTGGAGGTTTACAAGACATGTAATTGCACCCAAAAGATCTTTCAACATCTTTTTTGCAAAAAGGACATTATTTTGTATTCAGTCTAATCCACTCAAAATTGGCTTAGTCTTTTTAGAGTTCTGAAAGCCATTTTTTGACTAAATCACAAGGACATGGGGGATGTAGTTCCTCTTTACAATAGAAACAGAACTTCGTTTAACAGAGGCAAGTCACTTCTCTTGCTGATGTGAATTTAGGTTTTATAATTTTGTTGCAATTAACAGCAGGACAGTATGCCATATATCTTGAGCATTCTACAAATTTCGACAGAGTAGATCTTCTAATTCCATTTTATTTGAGAATTTTCTAATCATTGAGAAAGGTAGTCTGTAATTACACCCATAAAATAAACACCTAACAAAGAGGAACTTATCTTTTTATACTCTCTGCACTATAGTCTGTTTTATGCAAGATTCACAAAACATATGCTTACATCCCAATAGAATTAATTAATCTTCGCATAAACAAACTGAGCAACTTCCCTTAAGGCCATTATAAATAACTTGTTAGTGATCGTTAATAACTCCATTAGTTTTGAATTCAGCCAACTAAGTAGAGTCATATTTGTGAAAGATTTCATCTTTATTCCAATTGTAGTACATGAGCAACTTCATAATAAGGATCAATTACCTCGAAAGTGTTGTCTTCATCGAAGTAAAGAATCTCTGAGAGTTCTTGCACTTCATTCATTATCGTTTTCATGACATCCTTCATCTCCAAGATCTCCACCATACTAGAATTATTAGACAAGGTTTATACTCTTCTTTTGAGTTTTCTTATTAAGAACTTACTTCGTTGATTTCGCCTGAATCATTCTAATAGTTATATATGTCCTCATCTTCAATCATTTTATATTTATTTATTATAAAGGACACAATATGAATGACTATATGGATTACATCAAGGGAATTAAGACCTACATCGATGATTCTGCAAACAAGATACAAGACAAAGTGGCTGAGATCGTGAGGATAGACGACATCAAGGATTTGAACAAAATGCAAACAAAAAAATATCGACATCGCAATAATAATAAGTAACCTTCGCTTGTAACTTCAGGGGAGGTGTCACAGGCTGAGATTGAGTTACAAAAATTATAGCAGCAAAATCATCAACTCCATGAGAAAATGAAGGAGTTAGAGGAACAGAGAACCAATCTCAGATTCCAACTTGGAAAATATCGATAATTGATTGCTGATAAACGGAAGTTGTTAAACAAAGAATGCAGAGACGGATTCTAATTGCTCACCTAAACTAGGAGACCCAGGATCATGAGTGAGAAGAAGAGCAAGTCTCCTCAACTCTTCCTCACTTCCACTTCCACCATGTCTTAAAAAAAACTGACCCAAGTGCACATTCTACTTAGGGATGTGATGAAGGTCGAAAGACAACCTCCCATTATAAGGAGCAACAGGAGATACACTTTTGATTAATTTATGCAATTAAACAAAACAGAATATTTTAGCTACATACACAATCATTTACCAAAAATCAAAGAATACTTTCTTGAATTCTCATTCAAAAGAACAAAGCAATTCAAAACTCTGTGATTTTGTATCAATTTACTAACTAATTTTAAAATTATTTCATTACANGCCAATTATTCACAGGCATGTTCAAAGAGCTTCTGATAATGATCTAACAACTAGGATGAGTATTGGTTATTATGAGAAATATAGTAGCACAAACAATAAGACCTGCACAGTAATAATATCACGTATACCATTTTAATGTGACTCTAGATTAGATTAGTTCTGCCATGACTTCTTCCAAGAATTTAGTGTCATTCATATCGAAGCCTAAATACATAAATATTTTGTCAATGTATTCATCTCTAATTTTTTTCAATGACTCCTGGGCTTTTTATCCTGCAGCTTCTGAAATTAGATATCTTTTCTAATAGAAATTACATCTTTCGATTGAATCTTTCTCTTACTTTGTATTGTCTGTGGGTGGTACATACTAGTTGCACTTATAATGATCTTTGTGATATGGTTTCCAAGGCTAAGAACAAACATAACAAAAAGCATTTCCGCATCCTCCTGGAGGTTTACAAGACATGTAATTGCACCCAAAAGATCTTTCAACATCTTTTTTGCAAAAAGGACATTATTTTGTATTCAGTCTAATCCACTCAAAATTGGCTTAGTCTTTTTAGAGTTCTGAAAGCCATTTTTTGACTAAATCACAAGGACATGGGGGATGTAGTTCCTCTTTACAATAGAAACAGAACTTCGTTTAACAGAGGCAAGTCACTTCTCTTGCTGATGTGAATTTAGGTTTTATAATTTTGTTGCAATTAACAGCAGGACAGTATGCCATATATCTTGAGCATTCTACAAATTTCGACAGAGTAGATCTTCTAATTCCATTTTATTTGAGAATTTTCTAATCATTGAGAAAGGTAGTCTGTAATTACACCCATAAAATAAACACCTAACAAAGAGGAACTTATCTTTTTATACTCTCTGCACTATAGTCTGTTTTATGCAAGATTCACAAAACATATGCTTACATCCCAATAGAATTAATTAATCTTCGCATAAACAAACTGAGCAACTTCCCTTAAGGCCATTATAAATAACTTGTTAGTGATCGTTAATAACTCCATTAGTTTTGAATTCAGCCAACTAAGTAGAGTCATATTTGTGAAAGATTTCATCTTTATTCCAATTGTAGTACATGAGCAACTTCATAATAAGGATCAATTACCTCGAAAGTGTTGTCTTCATCGAAGTAAAGAATCTCTGAGAGTTCTTGCACTTCATTCATTATCGTTTTCATGACATCCTTCATCTCCAAGATCTCCACCATACTAGAATTATTAGACAAGGTTTATACTCTTCTTTTGAGTTTTCTTATTAAGAACTTACTTCGTTGATTTCGCCTGAATCATTCTAATAGTTATATATGTCCTCATCTTCAATCATTTTATATTTATTTATTATAAAGGACACAATATGAATGACTATATGGATTACATCAAGGGAATTAAGACCTACATCGATGATTCTGCAAACAAGATACAAGACAAAGTGGCTGAGATCGTGAGGATAGACGACATCAAGGATTTGAACAAAATGCAAACAAAAAAATATCGACATCGCAATAATAATAATTAACCTTCGCTTGTAACTTCAGGGGAGGTGTCACAGGCTGAGATTGAGTTACAAAAATTATAGCAGCAAAATCATCAACTCCATGAGAAAATGAAGGAGTTAGAGGAACAGAGAACCAATCTCAAATTCCAACTTGGAAAATATCGATAATTGATTGCTGATAAACGGAAGTTGTTAAACAAAGAATGCAGAGACGGATTCTAATTGCTCACCTAAACTAGGAGACCCAGGATCATGAGTGAGAAGAAGAGCAAGTCTCCTCAACTCTTCCTCACTTCCACTTCCACTTCCACCATGTCTTAAAAGAAACTGACCCAAGTGCACATTCTACTTATGGATGTGATGAAGGTCGAAAGACAACCTCCCATTATAAGGAGAACCTCTTTTGATTAATTTATGCAATTAAATAAAACAGAATATTTTTGCTACATACACAATCATTTACCAAAAATCAAAGAATACTTTCTTGAATTCTTGATATATTGTGATTGTGTCCAAATAGATATTTTTTTTATGGATTTTTTGTATTTTTTCATCAATGACTATCTTCTGATATCTATTGCTGAATAATTGTACTAAATGTAGTTCATCTATTAATCGAGACGCTCGAGTTTAATATGAAATCTGCACTCCTAAAAAATACACATTAAACTAATGTATTCATGGGAGTTAATAGTAGGTGCTCAATTTACAACTCCACAAAATAGTTTATTATTAACATACTTTTTCTTAACTGTCAAATTGTTTTAATGTCAATTCATTTTAGATTAGAAGACTTTACAACTGCATGTCTTTACTAAAATTTGTAATATTAACTGCAATTTATATGTAATTGATGGATAATAGATTGTTTTTTTTGATCTAACAATTATTTACAAACTTTTATTAATAATTATACAATTTATAACAAGAGCAGATATGTTGTATTATTCAAAAGCAAGTTAATCGTTGATGTTCTGTGTGTAACTTGCTTGTTTTTTTTATTTATTTAATGTGCTAGAAATGTGAAAGAATTTTTATCTTATTTTAATGTTTATCTTATTTTAAAGACCAATTATTAAGGTTCTTTATTAAGTAATTCAAATGTAAATTTATAGAGCTAAAATATTTTCTCTAATTTTTCTTCCTAAAGATAATTTAAATTCTCTTATCACAACTAATTTATTGTACCATTAAAATTAATTCCATGCATATGTTTAGACTTTTCAAATACAACTCTGATTTCCATCTCAGTTAGATCAGCCTCTACGTTTATGTTAGCAAGAAGGATTTAAATATAAATCAGTCTTGGTAAATTGTCTGAAAAAAATATAGTTATAATATAATGAAATTAAAAATTTAATTATAAATATGCTATTAAATTCTTGATCTGGTGAATGAGAGTAATATTGTTTTAACTTAGATTTTGAAAACACCTTATATTTAATTTGAGTCGTTATATAGTATTTTATTTAGTTTGAATACAAAAGTGTACATGGTAAATTTAAATATTTCAATTTAAAAGAAAATGTCTAAAATAGCTTAAGAAGAATTTGTGCAACTAACTATCTGATAATTATATTTAACATGATTTACATATAATTTATCACTTTAATAGTATGTTTGTTAAATTAAAAAAAATTCATATAGTTTAACATAATTAAAAACAAATGGAGAACAATATTTTTAATTAATTAATACTAGATAGTATTCAATGAGAAAATAATAATAATTGGGTTTGAAAAGTAAAGAGAGAGCAATATCAAATAATTCTGAAAGACTTCTTTAGATGATAGAAGTTGTATTTTAGAAAAAAAATGAAACTAAAAGTTGAATAGCATCATATTATAGGTTAACAAAGATTTTCAAAATATAATTCATTAAAGTTAAATTATGTCCTTTTAAAACATCCATTTTAAGTATGCTAGAAATGTATCATATATAGTTATTATAAATACAAAATTTAACTTCAATTATCTATATAAATATCAAAATTGACGTTATAGCTTAGCTATTAATAATTTGGATTTGGTTCGCATGTTATGGTAAATGAAAAAGTTGGACTTTTAACAAAAGTATCGTTTCAAATATATTATTATATTTGTATGTATCAAATTATGCTGCTCTAATCAAACAGTAATTCGTTAAATCATCACTTTTTAGGTTGTTTTTGGTATTTTCAAAGAGAGAAATTTCAACAATTTCATTCATAGAAGGAGATGTTTCTCTAATTATGGAACTGACAATCATATATATTTTGGATTATTCTATTTTGTATTCCTGGCTTTGGATTTTCTTTATTTTTTGTAATGTATATGAATAGGGAACAACTCGATAAAATTAAGTTAAGAAAACCAATAGGTTATTTATTTAATGAATATAATTCAAAAAGTTATGATTGGGAATAAATTAAATTATCAAAAAAATTATCATAATCATTTGACATTTTTGAAAGCGATGTATTGTTGATGGCTTCGCTGCTTGGACTATGTTTGCTTTTCTACTAATTATTAGCAGTAAAATAAAAGCCTTATATCATATAAAATTTGAACTTTTTAGATATTCTAACAGAATAAATTTGCTCTCTATCTATATTTATTAGTGCAGTCAAATATCTATCAGAAAAGGAAATGTTACAGCATTATCAATTCTCCTTTAATTTTTTATCATTTCGTTAATTAGTAAAAATAACTGATGTTGAAATGAATAAGCTAGCAAGTCCTTGAGCCAGAGGATATTATACTTTAACAACGATAGTACAAAATTAGGTGTTTGGCCCCTTGCTTTACTCAACCATAATATTCATATCTTTCTTTTTGAAATCCTTTAATTTTTTAATTATAACACTCTAAGAGCAGAAGTGTGGATTATAGAGGTGACAAGATCTTTGCATATCTGTAGTTTAAAATAAGTAACGGAAATACCTCATCAATAATAACAAGTATTCCTATATATATTCTCATTTTCTTTTGAAACAAAATTTAAAAATCAATCTAAGTCATGATATTTTTGATTTTAAACAAGTCATGCCAAATTGGAACTAATGAGAACACATTATCAGCTTTATTTACATAAAACTATTTATTACTTAAGAATAATTATAGTCTATGTTTATCCGAAAGCTTCAAATTATAGAAAATAAAATAGTAATCAAAACACTTCTTAAAGAGTTTCTTTATAGATTCTGAACTATGACAAAAGCTTAACTCAATACGTTTATTATATAAATTTGTGTATAAAAAATTAATTACTTATTAAGTTCCCAAGCTTTGAGTTAGACCAGAATAATTGGCTCTGCCTGATTCAAAACATGCAATGTGATAATACTGGTCTGACAAACTTATATTTTCAGTGCCTTATACTTAAATCTTCAATTCATTTTATACCTGGATGATAAATTGAAATTGTTACTTGAAAAGTTATTGAGCCAAATTCATTATCTATCAAAACTTCGCAATCATTATCTTAAATTACCTATAAGTAGTTCTAAATGGTAAAAAGGTTAACGATAGTGATTACTTTCCATGCAGTATTCAACCTAAGTTCTTATATAAGGTTAAGAAGCTTGATGAATTTAAACATTACACATTTAAACCCTATTTATATAACCTGACGAATGTTCAAATAATTAGATAAGTGATACATAGATCGAGTATTGCATGCATGACCCAAATTTTTTAGTCCGTGGCTTTTCTGAATCGTTTTTTGAAATTCAGATTGTGTAAATATATAAAGCATCAGGCTGGGTAATTTGAACCCTAATTTTCTTTTTGAAAAATAAATTGAAATTAATTGATAGAAAGAATCAGAAATAGAAAAATGTAAGAGTAAGAAAGAATTACTGAAAGGTTGTGAATTCTTATTAAAATAATTCAGTAGTTTGATTATTATTTTTTGGATTCTTTGTACATAGAAATTTAGAGGGAAACTTGTTTAAATTTAAATTATCCTATCAATCAATCAAGCATGATATATATTTTACCTAACCTGGATATAAGCACTGGTTCTGGATTTTTCTGGTAATTTTTACTCGATTCTTTCTAGATTGAATCCAAATTGCCTAATTGTCAATATTTTGTGCAATAATTGTTGATGACTATAAACTAAGAAATTTTCCTATAGCTACTCCAAGAAGGCAGAAACCAGTAATACAACTCGATTAATACACTCGAGGATAAATTCCTGTGATAACCAAGGCGTATAGAATGCTTTAAGCCCAAAAAACATTTAAGTTACTTCTACCAAAGAACACTAACCTTTCTAAATAGAGCATTAACATGGAAGTTTATATCATGTGACTTTAATTGTTTTGCATAATACTTCATTGTCTAAATCATTATTAAAATTACTAAACATAATTACATTACAAATTAAGCACTGGAAACGTAGCATCAAAATTAAGGAACCAAAAGCAAAGGATCAGCTGATTTACTTAATTCACACTTACAGTTCAATCCTACCTTAGCTTCTGATAGAGACTATTATGGTCAATAACAGAAAATCTTAAAAGAGACCGTTTTACAATAATATCATTTATTACTTATTGAACTCTATTACAGAATCAATANTTATCATAATCATTTGACATTTTTGAAAGCGATGTATTGTTGATGGCTTCGCTGCTTGGACTATGTTTGCTTTTCTACTAATTATTAGCAGTAAAATAAAAGCCTTATATCATATAAAATTTGAACTTTTTAGATATTCTAACAGAATAAATTTGCTCTCTATCTATATTTATTAGTGCAGTCAAATATCTATCAGAAAAGGAAATGTTACAGCATTATCAATTCTCCTTTAATTTTTTATCATTTCGTTAATTAGTAAAAATAACTGATGTTGAAATGAATAAGCTAGCAAGTCCTTGAGCCAGAGGATATTATACTTTAACAACGATAGTACAAAATTAGGTGTTTGGCCCCTTGCTTTACTCAACCATAATATTCATATCTTTCTTTTTGAAATCCTTTAATTTTTTAATTATAACACTCTAAGAGCAGAAGTGTGGATTATAGAGGTGACAAGATCTTTGCATATCTGTAGTTTAAAATAAGTAACGGAAATACCTCATCAATAATAACAAGTATTCCTATATATATTCTCATTTTCTTTTGAAACAAAATTTAAAAATCAATCTAAGTCATGATATTTTTGATTTTAAACAAGTCATGCCAAATTGGAACTAATGAGAACACATTATCAGCTTTATTTACATAAAACTATTTATTACTTAAGAATAATTATAGTCTATGTTTATCCGAAAGCTTCAAATTATAGAAAATAAAATAGTAATCAAAACACTTCTTAAAGAGTTTCTTTATAGATTCTGAACTATGACAAAAGCTTAACTCAATACGTTTATTATATAAATTTGTGTATAAAAAATTAATTACTTATTAAGTTCCCAAGCTTTGAGTTAGACCAGAATAATTGGCTCTGCCTGATTCAAAACATGCAATGTGATAATACTGGTCTGACAAACTTATATTTTCAGTGCCTTATACTTAAATCTTCAATTCATTTTATACCTGGATGATAAATTGAAATTGTTACTTGAAAAGTTATTGAGCCAAATTCATTATCTATCAAAACTTCGCAATCATTATCTTAAATTACCTATAAGTAGTTCTAAATGGTAAAAAGGTTAACGATAGTGATTACTTTCCATGCAGTATTCAACCTAAGTTCTTATATAAGGTTAAGAAGCTTGATGAATTTAAACATTACACATTTAAACCCTATTTATATAACCTGACGAATGTTCAAATAATTAGATAAGTGATACATAGATCGAGTATTGCATGCATGACCCAAATTTTTTAGTCCGTGGCTTTTCTGAATCGTTTTTTGAAATTCAGATTGTGTAAATATATAAAGCATCAGGCTGGGTAATTTGAACCCTAATTTTCTTTTTGAAAAATAAATTGAAATTAATTGATAGAAAGAATCAGAAATAGAAAAATGTAAGAGTAAGAAAGAATTACTGAAAGGTTGTGAATTCTTATTAAAATAATTCAGTAGTTTGATTATTATTTTTTGGATTCTTTGTACATAGAAATTTAGAGGGAAACTTGTTTAAATTTAAATTATCCTATCAATCAATCAAGCATGATATATATTTTACCTAACCTGGATATAAGCACTGGTTCTGGATTTTTCTGGTAATTTTTACTCGATTCTTTCTAGATTGAATCCAAATTGCCTAATTGTCAATATTTTGTGCAATAATTGTTGATGACTATAAACTAAGAAATTTTCCTATAGCTACTCCAAGAAGGCAGAAACCAGTAATACAACTCGATTAATACACTCGAGGATAAATTCCTGTGATAACCAAGGCGTATAGAATGCTTTAAGCCCAAAAAACATTTAAGTTACTTCTACCAAAGAACACTAACCTTTCTAAATAGAGCATTAACATGGAAGTTTATATCATGTGACTTTAATTGTTTTGCATAATACTTCATTGTCTAAATCATTATTAAAATTACTAAACATAATTACATTACAAATTAAGCACTGGAAACGTAGCATCAAAATTAAGGAACCAAAAGCAAAGGATCAGCTGATTTACTTAATTCACACTTACAGTTCAATCCTACCTTAGCTTCTGATAGAGACTATTATGGTCAATAACAGAAAATCTTAAAAGAGACCGTTTTACAATAATATCATTTATTACTTATTGAACTCTATTACAGAATCAATAATACTATTATCAAAATGAAAATGAGGGATTTTGGAATGAGGACAGATATCAACAACAAGTGAGCTATTTACATTCTAATGGGGCTTTTTAGTTATCAATCCAAAATTGTGGTAAACAATAGAGAACGAATTTTTGAAAAAACTTTCAATCTAAAGATTCGATCACTAATCAGAATCCAACAGGAAGGGTACATCAAAACATTAAAGGATATATCAGAAGGGTAAGTTAATTATACATAAATTGAAATTTTTCCCTTTTCATAGGCTTATTATGATCAATCCTTAGATAGATTTTAGCTGAATACCTTAAATATCTAAGAACAGAACATAGCACTTGTAAAGAATAATTGAGTATTTCAATTTTAAAGAATACGCATAATAATTTTAATTTACTACTTCACATTCTAATGGCTTTCTGAATTTATAATAGTGCAAAATTGGTTTAACTTTATTAGTTTAATAATGTCTCAATTAACTTCTAAGTTCAATTTTACACAAAATAGAAAAGCTTTCAAGATCTCTATACAATAATATTAATTTATCTAAAAACAGATTTCTTAAAGTGGCTATTTCGTTTAGTTGAATACTAGTATAAACTAAATTTCATTCTTGTTAATCTAATTTATAATTTGTAAAACCAATCAAAAGCAATTTCAAGCATATTTGTGATCTGATTCAAATTTAAGTTGATTGATCTGGGAACTGGTAAATGTTGAGTTTACTATAATAGACTATTTTATATAGTAACTTTCATTCTGGGTAATTTAATATTATTATAAAGTTAAATTATGATCAAAATAATCCAAATATATATAATAATTGTTAATTTTAATAGAAATAGAAAAATGCAGTTGAGTTGTAATTAAGCTGACCATAACAACCAATCAATTATAGGGGTTTGCGTAGATATTACATGCCCAAATATAAGGCCTTATTGTAATTTTTGTTTGCCTCTCCATGCCAAACATCTTCATATGTTAACCCCTTTGGATCTTATAAATGAATGGATTTCAGAACGAATCCTTTAGGTGCATAATGAAAAACAAAGTGGCTGAGATCGTGAGGATAGACGACATCAAGGATTTGAACAAAATGCAAACAAAAAAATATCGACATCGCAATAATAATAAGTAACCTTTGCTTGTAACTTCAGGGGAGGTGTCACAGACTGAGATTGAGTTACAAAAATTATAGCAGCAAAATCATCAACTCCATGAGAAAATGAAGGAGTTAGAGGAACAGAGAACCAATCTCAAATTCCAACTTGGAAAATATCGATAATTGATTGCTGATAAACGGAAGTTGTTAAACAAAGAATGCAGAGACGGATTCTAATTGCTCACCTAAACTAGGAGACCCAGGATCATGAGTGAGAAGAAGAGCAAGTCTCCTCAACTCTTCCTCACTTCCCCTTCCACCATGTCTTAAAAGAAACTGACCCAAGTGCACATTCTACTTAGGGATATGATGAAGGTCGAAAGACAACCTCCCATTATAAGGAGCAACAGGAGATACACTTTTGATTAATTTATGTAATTAAAAAAAACAGAATATTTTAGCTACATACACAATCATTTACCAAAAATCAAAGAATACTTTCTTGAATTCTTGATATATTGTGATTGTGTCCAAATAGAATTGTTATTTTTTTTAAGGATTTTTTGTATTTTTTCATCAATGACTATCTTCTGATATCTATTGCTGAATAATTGTACTAAATGTAGTTCATCCATTAATCGAGACGCTCGAGTTTAATATGAAATCTGCACTCCTAAAAAATACACATTAAACTAATGTATTCATGGGAGTTAATATTAGGTGCTCAATTTACAACTCCACAAAATAGTTTATTATTAACATACTTTTTCTTAACTGTCAAATTGTTTTAATGTCAATTCATTTTAGATTAGAAGACTTTAAAACTGCATGTCTTTACTAAAATTTGTAATATTAACTGCAATTTATATGTAATTGATGGATAATAGATTGTTTTTTTTTTGATCTAACAATTATTTACAAACTATTATTAATAATTATACAATTTACAACAAGAGCAGATTTGTTGTATTATTTAAAAGCAAGTTAATCGTTGATGTTCCGTGCATAACTTGCTTGTTTTTTATATTTATTTAATGTGCTAGAAATGTGAAAGAATTTTTATCTTATTTAATGTTTATCTTATTTTAAAGACCAATTATTAAGGTTCTTTATTAAGTAATTCAAATGTAAATTTATAGAGCTAAAATATTTTCTCTAATTTTTCTTCCTAAAGATAATTTAAATTCTCTTATCACAACTAATTTATTGTACCATTAAAATTAATTCTATGCATATGTTTAGACTTTTCAAATAGAACTCTGATTTCCATCTCAGTTAGATCAGCCTCTACGTTTATGTTAGCAAGAAGGATTTAAATATAAATCAGTCTTGGTAAATTGTCTGAAAAAAATATAGTTATAATATAATGAAATTAAAAATTTAATTATAAATATGCTATTAAATTCTTGATCTGGCGAATGAGAGTAATATTGTTTTTAACTTAGATTTTGAAAAAACATTATATTTAATTTGAGTCGTTATATAGTAGTTTATTTAGTTTGAATACAAAGTATATATGGTAAATTTAAATATTTCAATTTAAAAGAAAAAGTCTAAAATAGCGTAAGAAGAATTTATGCAACTAACTATCTGATAATTATATTTAACATGATTTACATATAATTTATCACTTTAATAGTATGTTTGTTAAATTAAAAAAAATTCATATAGTTTAACATAATTAAAAACAAATGGAGAACAATATTTTTAATTAATTAATACTAGATAGTATTCAATGAGAAAATAATAATAATTGGGTTTGAAAAGTAAAGAGAGAGCAATATCAAATAATTCTGAAAGACTTCTTTAGATGATAGAAGTTGTATTTTAGAAAAAAAATGAAACTAAAAGTTGAATAGCATCATATTATAGGTTAACAAAGATTTTCAAAATATAATTCATTAAAGTTAAATTATGTCCTTTTAAAACATCCATTTTAAGTATGCTAGAAATGTATCATATATAGTTATTATAAATACAAAATTTAACTTCAATTATCTATATAAATATCAAAATTGACGTTATAGCTTAGCTATTAATAATTTGGATTTGGTTCGCATGTTATGGTAAATGAAAAAGTTGGACTTTTAACAAAAGTATCGTTTCAAATATATTATTATATTTGTATGTATCAAATTATGCTGCTCTAATCAAACAGTAATTCGTTAAATCATCACTTTTTAGGTTGTTTTCGGTATTTTCAAAGAGAGAAATTTCAACAATTTCATTCATAGAAGGAGATGTTTCTCTAATTATGGAACTGACAATCATATATATTTTGGATTATTCTATTTTGTATTCTTGGCTTTGGATTTTCTTTATTTTTTGTAATGTATATGAATAGGGAACAACTCGATAAAATTAAGTTAAGAAAACCAATAGGTTATTTATTTAATGAATATAATTCAAAAAGTTATGATTGGGAATAAATTAAATTATCAAAAAAATTATCATAATCATTTGACATTTTTGAAAGCGATGTATTGTTGATGGCTTCGCTGCTTGGACTATGTTTGCTTTTCTACTAATTATTAGCAGTAAAATAAAAGCCTTATATCATATAAAATTTGAACTTTTTAGATATTCTAACAGAATAAATTTGCTCTCTATCTATATTTATTAGTGCAGTCAAATATCTATCAGAAAAGGAAATGTTACAGCATTATCAATTCTCCTTTAATTTTTTATCATTTCGTTAATTAGTAAAAATAACTGATGTTGAAATGAATAAGCTAGCAAGTCCTTGAGCCAGAGGATATTATACTTTAACAACGATAGTACAAAATTAGGTGTTTGGCCCCTTGCTTTACTCAACCATAATATTCATATCTTTCTTTTTGAAATCCTTTAATTTTTTAATTATAACACTCTAAGAGCAGAAGTGTGGATTATAGAGGTGACAAGATCTTTGCATATCTGTAGTTTAAAATAAGTAACGGAAATACCTCATCAATAATAACAAGTATTCCTATATATATTCTCATTTTCTTTTGAAACAAAATTTAAAAATCAATCTAAGTCATGATATTTTTGATTTTAAACAAGTCATGCCAAATTGGAACTAATGAGAACACATTATCAGCTTTATTTACATAAAACTATTTATTACTTAAGAATAATTATAGTCTATGTTTATCCGAAAGCTTCAAATTATAGAAAATAAAATAGTAATCAAAACACTTCTTAAAGAGTTTCTTTATAGATTCTGAACTATGACAAAAGCTTAACTCAATACGTTTATTATATAAATTTGTGTATAAAAAATTAATTACTTATTAAGTTCCCAAGCTTTGAGTTAGACCAGAATAATTGGCTCTGCCTGATTCAAAACATGCAATGTGATAATACTGGTCTGACAAACTTATATTTTCAGTGCCTTATACTTAAATCTTCAATTCATTTTATACCTGGATGATAAATTGAAATTGTTACTTGAAAAGTTATTGAGCCAAATTCATTATCTATCAAAACTTCGCAATCATTATCTTAAATTACCTATAAGTAGTTCTAAATGGTAAAAAGGTTAACGATAGTGATTACTTTCCATGCAGTATTCAACCTAAGTTCTTATATAAGGTTAAGAAGCTTGATGAATTTAAACATTACACATTTAAACCCTATTTATATAACCTGACGAATGTTCAAATAATTAGATAAGTGATACATAGATCGAGTATTGCATGCATGACCCAAATTTTTTAGTCCGTGGCTTTTCTGAATCGTTTTTTGAAATTCAGATTGTGTAAATATATAAAGCATCAGGCTGGGTAATTTGAACCCTAATTTTCTTTTTGAAAAATAAATTGAAATTAATTGATAGAAAGAATCAGAAATAGAAAAATGTAAGAGTAAGAAAGAATTACTGAAAGGTTGTGAATTCTTATTAAAATAATTCAGTAGTTTGATTATTATTTTTTTGGATTCTTTGTACATAGAAATTTAGAGGGAAACTTGTTTAAATTTAAATTATCCTGTCAATCAATCAAGCATGATATATATCTTACCTAACCTGGTTCTGGATTTTTCTGGTAATTTTTACTCGATTCTTTCTAGATTGAATCCAAATTGCCTAATTGTCAATATTTTGTGCAATAATTGTTGATGACTATAAACTAAGAAATTTTCCTATAGCTACTCCAAGAAGGCAGAAACCAGTAATACAACTCGATTAATACACTCGAGGATAAATTCCTGTGATAACCAAGGCGTATAGAATGCTTTAAGCCCAAAAAACATTTAAGTTACTTCTACCAAAGAACACTAACCTTTCTAAATAGAGCATTAACATGGAAGTTTATATCATGTGACTTTAATTGTTTTGCATAATACTTCATTGTCTAAATCATTATTAAAATTACTAAACATAATTACATTACAAATTAAGCACTGGAAACGTAGCATCAAAATTAAGGAACCAAAAGCAAAGGATCAGCTGATTTACTTAATTCACACTTACAGTTCAATCCTACCTTAGCTTCTGATAGAGACTATTATGGTCAATAACAGAAAATCTTAAAAGAGACCGTTTTACAATAATATCATTTATTACTTATTGAACTCTATTACAGAATCAATAATACTATTATCAAAATGAAAATGAGGGATTTTGGAATGAGGACAGATATCAACAACAAGTGAGCTATTTACATTCTAATGGGGCTTTTTAGTTATCAATCCAAAATTGTGGTAAACAATAGAGAACGAATTTTTGAAAAAACTTTCAATCTAAAGATTCGATCACTAATCAGAATCCAACAGGAAGGGTACATCAAAACATTAAAGGATATATCAGAAGGGTAAGTTAATTATACATAAATTGAAATTTTTCCCTTTTCATAGGCTTATTATGATCAATCCTTAGATAGATTTTAGCTGAATACCTTAAATATCTAAGAACAGAACATAGCACTTGTAAAGAATAATTGAGTATTTCAATTTTAAAGAATACGCATAATAATTTTAATTTACTACTTCACATTCTAATGGCTTTCTGAATTTATAATAGTGCAAAATTGGTTTAACTTTATTAGTTTAATAATGTCTCAATTAACTTCTAAGTACAATTTTACACAAAATAGAAAAGCTTTCAAGATCTCTATTCAATAATATTAATTTATCTAAAACAGATTTCTTAAAGTGGCTATTTCGTTTAGTTGAATACTAGTATAAACTAAATTTCATTCTTGTTAATCTAATTTATAATTTGTAAAACCAATCAAAAGCAATTTCAAGCATATTTGTGATCTGATTCAAATTTAAGTTGATTGATCTGGGAACTGGTAAATGTTGAGTTTACTATAATAGACTATTTTATATAGTAACTTTCATTCTGGGTAATTTAATATTATTATAAAGTTAAATTATGATCAAAATAATCCAAATATATATAATAATTGTTAATTTTAATAGAAATAGAAAAATGCAGATGAGTTGTAATTAAGCTGACCATAACAACCAATCAATTATAGGGGTTTGCGTAGATATTACATGCCCAAATATAAGGCCTTATTGTAATTTTTGTTTGCCTCTCCATGCCAAACATCTTCATATGTTAACCCCTTTGGATCTTATAAATGAATGGATTTCAGAACGAATCCTTTAGGTGCATAATGCTTAAAACAATGTAGAAGAGTTTAAAGTTTCCCTTGAAATTTTTCTAAATTAGGTTTCTCCTTATTGTAACTTTAATTTTGATTAAATACCTAAATTAGGATTATCATAGATTGATAATTTAGTAAAAGGTTTGGGTTCAATAGAATTATGTGAAAAAGTCCTATTTAGACAACTTAACCAATCAATTCAAGAATTAAAATAGATTGTTATCGAAATACAAAAAATATTAAAGAATTAAATTACTATAAGCAACAATGATAATACATAAATTCCACAATATTAACACAAATTAAAACCAAATCTAAGCCCAATCAGATATCAGCTCATGAAAACAAATTCTATTGAATAAGGGGGAAGTTGTTTTGCATTTGCTTTTAATAAAGATTGCTCAATTGTAGCAGCAGGATGTAGCAGTTAAATAATAGTATACGAATTCAGACAAGGAATGAAGAAATAGATATAACTCTTATATGAGCATTAAAAGGAAATGGGCACTTTAAATTTCATGAAAAAATCCAATTAGCTTGTATCTGGAGATTGTGATGGAGATATTTTGATTTGGTCAAGCAAGAATAATAAATATTGGATTTGTTCATAAACTCTTAAACAACACAATAGTCGTATAAATTGCTTAATTATGAATAATAATGAAGATATTATGATATCATGTAGTAATGATTAAACTATTAAGTTTTGGATGAAACTAAATGAATGGATCTGTTAATAAACAATAACTAATCATGAAAATTTTGTTTATTAATTAAGTTTAAATGAAAAATAAAATAAAGTTATATCATGTGGAAAAGATCAGTTAATCTTAGTAATTGAGAATTCAGAATAGAATAAACAGTGGATAGTAAAATAAAAAATTCAAGTTGATTGTTTAGGATATAGATTATGTTTTATCAACGATAATCTTTTCACATTTCAACCTTCTACAGGCAATTTGATGCATATCTATGAGTTGCATAATTTAAGTAAATAGTTCACTCAAACTAAACATATTACTGTAAATTAAGGAGATGATAATAGAGTATTTTTCCCATAGAAATATATTCAATCAAAATAGCTACTTGTGATTAAGCATGATAAATATATTAATTTAATAAGAAAGATAGATAATGACCAATTTATAGTTGAGTAATCTATTCAATTTAGTAGTAAGGAGTTATTTGGATGCATAAGTGATGATGGAGAGTATTTGATTACTTGGGATGATTCATCTGATGAAATATAAATTAGGAGATCCAAACAAGAATGAGGAATATTAAAATATAAATGGATTATTTCATTAATTATTAATAATTTTAAATATAATGTTTTAAATAGTATGTTTTGTGGAAAAAAAAGCTGAAAATCAAATATTTTTGACCACATTGTATTGGGGAATAAGGAACAGTAATACATTTAAAAAAATCGCAATACATTCAACTAGAACATTCAATTTAACGTCATTTACAATACTAGTTATAATTTTCATTACAAATCATAAGGAATAATGGAAGCTAAACCTTTTATTGCCGCAATAATATAAAGAGGCTTTTTGTTGTTTTAATAATGATGAGAAATTAATTAAAATTAAAATTAATTTAATAATAAATAATAATCTATTACATTGTTTTACCAAAAATATGAATCCTTATTAATATTAATAAGGTGATAATTGAGATTGATCAGGTATGTAAATAAAGGTTGCAGAGTTTGTTAATAAATTTAATGCTTGTAGCAACATATATAGATTTATTGTAACAAGTATATTATTAACAAAGGTTTCATTCAAACCTAGAAACAGATATACGATTAACAATCTATAAAATTCAAGAAGTGCATGGCCAATTCAAATAAATAATTATGTTCATTGTTAGAGGAATAACGGAATCAAATTCAGAGTGAAAAACAGATCAAAGTTTAAAAAGTATGCACTTTCAAGGAAGCTATCATGAACAAAGAAATAATGAT